AGGCCCCAACACACCGAACAAAGGAAACAAGACTGCTGGCCTCCAAAGCGCCTCGAACTTCGTCGGGAACCTGAGGGCGAGAGGGGGCCGCTCTCTCGCGCGGAGCGGCTGCGGGGGCGCCTCGAACTTCGCCGGGAACCTGAGGGCGACGGCGGGGCGCGGCAGAGGGGGATGACCTCCTCCGCGCCAGACGCAACGGGTGTCTGGAGGCGCCACGGCTTGGCGTCGCGGGAAGGCCTGCCTACCCTACAGGAGCGACGCTCCATCGACGCTCGAGCGAACCAGACCGCTCCGCCCGTCCGAGAACCTGTAGCCCAGGGACAGCAAGAGAGGCGGGGCAGGCAAGAGAGGCGGGGCGGCCGCGCGGCGGGCGGCGGAGAGAGGCGGGGGGGCGGCGGCGCGGCAAGAGAGGCACCCTCCCGAGGCAGGGGGGCGGCGGCGCGGCAAGAGAGGCACTCTCTCTAGCTGCACCTCTCCATCTTCACCTGCAGGCGGAGAGGGTCACCATGAGCACAGAGCAGCGCCCACAACCCTGGTGACAACACGGGGCCCTGAATTAACCAAGAAACGTAACAGAGCTCAGAGAACGCACGACTACAGGAAAAACAACCTCGGAAAACCAGCCAGCCAACCGGAGAGACCCACCAGGGTCACATCAAACTCTGACAGCATAATGCATGGACCAATACCTAGGGGGGCCACAAGGAAAAAGTGATACCAAAAAGGGGGACACGGCAACTCAGGAGAGGAGGGGCGCAGCGAGAGGAGCAGGAGGAGCAGGGGGAGGGGCGGCAGCAGCAGCAGCCAGACGCAGCGCACGTAGGGCCTCATTAAGCTTGGGGCGCCGACGAGACAATTGCCGAAGCCTTGCTATAATAAGAAACTCCCCCGGCTGGACCGAACCAGTCCTGCGAGCATTATGCGCGGCCAGAAAACAATCAACAAGGACACGCCCCACTAGGTCACGCGACCGCCCCCACTGTGGCCCCAAACAACAAAGAGTGAGGAGCCAATCCTCACCCGTTAGAGCCGCGGCCCAAGACCTCAGAAGTCCTCCACGGGGGAATACGTCAATCAACCCTGCCTTCAACTTGGGGCACACGCGATAATGCCTCAGGTCGTCGTCGGCCGCTTCCAGAGGACACCCAAACGCACATCCCTCCACCGTGGTATGCAGCCGACTGGAGGTACAGACCCCACGGCAGAGCACTCTAAGAACCCCCGTGACGAGGTGCATCGCGCTGTCCCTCTCAACTTTACGCATCCTCTGGGCAAGCACCTGAAAGTCAGCTACCGTAACACGGTCGGGACCCACCCACTTGGACACCCTCCGCACCATGGTGCGAAGGGGAACAGTGGGGTCACGGAGCCCTCGGAGCTTGCGCATGACTTTCTTCTGAAGGGATTTCTTGGGGATGGGGGCCGTGAAGTTGCCTACTTCAGTCACCGTAGTCCTGATCCAGGAAGACTTCCACCAGGGCCATAACAGTCGAGCGGGAATGAAGTTATCGTCGCCCAGGGAAACCGTCAACGACCCCATCTCATACTGGATAGTATCTATACTGGAGCAAGACATCACCACCCGAAACTTGATAGCTTTAGAAAAACAATCGATATCCAAGCATTCTAAAGAGGCCCCCAACGCTCGCATGCCCGTCAGCATAACCCTCGAGAAGGCATGGCGTGGACCAGCAGTAATCACCTGTAAGGCCCCATTATACGCTTTCCGAAGAGCCTTGGTCACTGGACAGAGTTGTAACTGGTACGCCAGAATCGACATGCAGTGCGAGTGGAAAAGGCGAATGGTCTGTGGAAGGCCAAGCCCAAGCCCACGAAGCCTCCGAAACGTCATCCAGAACTTGGGGATGGTGTTGCTCCATACTTTGTCCAGGGCCCCAGGCCCAAGCCAGAATCCCAAGTATAGGACCACACGAACAAACCCAATGCGGTAGTACTCACACCCCTTGGCTCGAAGGTGGGCAACTAATCTACCCAGATCAAGCGAGCCAATCACCAGTACCTTACAGTTGGGAATGTTCAGCCCAAGTCCCACAGCATGTTCCAACTTACGACGGAGCGAGAGCGTCGGCTGGAGGTCAGTCAGGACGTTGGGAAGGCAGAAGGAAAGATCAGCAGCGCATGCTCTAATCCGAGGGACATGGTCAGTGAGCTTGGCCCTCATCCAACGCAATACTGGGTCTAACGCATAAGCGAAGAGGAGCATCGAAGCAGGATCACCCTGCCGCACCCCACGCCCCACCGAAAAAGTAACACCAGTAGTCCCAGGGAAATGGATTACAGCCACATCGTCACGGTACAACTCGCGATAGAAACCACAAACTTCACCAGGAACACCCATGGCCTCCAAGACCGCCAAGATCCAGGAGACGATCAGAGAGGGGAACGCAGCCTTAAATTCCGTGAAAAGGATGCCAGAGCGATCCCCGCCAGTAAGCATCTGACGAAGACTCCACCGTTCAATCTCAACCGCGTTGTCAAG